TAGCAATCACTACACTTTGTGTCCGCTGTTCCAATTAGATGTGCAACATTGCTGCTAAAGTTCATTCCTTCTGTACATCTGCTTGCTCATCTCTTAATGTTTGTACGGCTCTACCACCTATCATGATTTGTATCATGATTATCATTTATCATGATTTGTATCATGATTACCATTTATCATGATTATCATTGATCATGAAGTCATAGGGCGTTTTTACGAGTCACAGAATGTTGCGTTCTTTACACTTTACATCCCAATCTTTAACATGGAGTGTTTGATTTGATGTTTGAACTAACCGTATTTTGTTAAAACGTCATTACAACTTTGTTTGACTAGATGTTTGCACTAGCCGTATTTTGTTAAAACGTCATTACAACTTGGTCGAGAGTTACTTAAATGATTTCTTTACCTCCCTCGGTGGAAAGTTCGAGAAAATACACCAAGTACAACTGTATTTGCAACTCCTCTGGTCTGCATCTTAAGATGCTTGCGTAGGGTGGTCTCCCTGTCACCCCACCCTGCATCTCCCCTCCCCGTGGGGTGAAGAGGGTGACGATGAGCATCTAACAGGTGTTTAAGTACGGTACGTTGCCTCAGTATGTTTTGTTAACAGTTTGAACTTGTGCAATGTGTCACAAATTGGTAGCTTCTAAAAGGGGCGTAAAAATACTTTAGAAATAGCTACGATTTATGCGTGTCCTTGGTGGGGGAGGGGGGGGGCAAGTGATGGGGGGGGGGGGGGGGGGGGGGGGCTACAGCATCCATACCACGTTCAAGGTGCTGTTTGTTTATTAACCTTTTAGATTACAACTAGAATACCCGTCATCCGTTGGATAACTGTGGGTTTCGGGGGTCATCCATCAAAAAACATCGATTTGAACCCCCCCCCCGCAAGATTTCGATTTGCAACCCCCCCCCCCTCAAACTTTTGATGTGCACCCCCCCCCCCCCCCCCCCCCCACTCAAACTTTCGATTTGTACCCCCTCAACCTTTCAATTTATTTTTCCAAACCATTTTGGCGCCACAACATATGTCCCCCCCCGCCTCCGTTCCCCCCTCCACCTCCCCTTCGGACTATCCCTTCATATACTGACGTCACAGGTGACCTACTCAACTCTACTTCACCTGCCCAGTGTCCCGCCAAGTCTCAGACAACATGTTTTCATCGTTTGAAAAACGATTCCAGCCGAGCTTGTCTCTGACCACACTATCCTTTCATATGCTTAGGACAAAGAAACAGATGAACTCTACTTCACCTGCCCTGTATCCTTCCAAGTTCAGATAGGCAATTTTATCATTCACATCTAAAAAAAAAATTGAAAAAAAAAATATCATTGACAGATTGGTCTAGAACTTGTGCCACCCGCATGAGAGCCGTCTACACTACCAACTTAGCTATTTACTCGTGACGTCACAAGTGAATTTTTATACTATACTTTGATTCTCCTTATGCAACTTGATTTACGCGCATAGATCTAGATCTAAGTCTAGTAGTAGTAACTTTCAAATTAAATTTTATCTTAAATTAGCCAAACAATTAAGGCCTGAAATAGATTCTAGATGTATTAAGGCCTGAAATAGATTCTAGATGTAGAATTTTCATTAAGTCTAGATCTAGAATTTACATTGAGTCTAGTGACCTAGATCTAGGCTAGATTCATAACTTTCCTTCGACAGCTGATCTTTAGATCTAGAGAAATTTATTGTAAAACTAAATGAAAAAAGACAGTTTAAAATTGATATAAGTGTTGGAACGTAATAAATACAGCAAACGGACGTATTGTTAAAGTTAAAGCCGACAGAAAATTAGCTTTAGAACGCGTTAAACATTGGAATGGGAACACAATCTTCTTCGATAGGCCGCCATTATCGATGTAAAAAAATAAACACATCATGTGACGTCACGGTCCCGCCGAGTGTAGTGGTCGTTCTAATCTTTTTAAAAAAATAGGGTTACTCTATGTATGAATAAATCAATAAATTAATTAACGTCTTTAAATAAATTTGTGATTAACAGTCTGTCTGCATTAAAAAATTATTCTCTACCTACATACTATTTTACAGCTCTCCAGATAAAGTAGAACATATCACAATACTCGATCGGACAAAAAAAAAAAAAACAAACAAAAAAATAAATATTCAAACATGTAAACAAACTTGACTTTTAGTAGTATACTAGGCATGCTGCCCAGCTTCGCTTAGGCTTTCGAAAACATTGAGAATTTGCATGCTTAATTAATTCGCCCGAGGGTCGGTCTACGACCTCAAGAGTTATGAAGAGGTTTAATCCGTGGACATTTTTTTTCGATTTATAGCTCATATAAGGTACCGGTCAGTCGAGGTCAGTTTTGACCCCCTCATCGTAGACTTTTCGGCCAACCGGCCCCCGTGTTCTGTCGCCCCAAGGCAAGATCCTGCCAAATTTGAAGCGCCTGCGGCGCCGGGAAGTGCCCTATCGGACACCCGACAATCTAGATCTAGATCTAGATTCCTAAAAGAATTTTTTTTAAAGTTTAGCCCGAGCATAATAAAAAAAAAATACATTAACCAAGTTGACTTGGTGTGTCTCGAACCCGCACCACCTGCGTGGTTTAATGTACACTAACATCTTCGCTATTTAGGCAGATGACGTCAATAGTTAATGTATAAGCAATAGTGACGTCACAGTTTTATGCGTTCTTTTTCACATATATTAATGCTCTTCCGGTTGCATAAATAATACTGTTTCTCTACATTCGAATACGCCTTTAATTTTTATTTTTCTTCTTTAAATAAAATTGTGGTTATACATTTAAAACATCTAACATATTATTTTCAACAAAAGTCCGTAAAAAATTCTCGATATATCGCTGCCGATTCTGACGTGATGTCCGGCGAAAATGTTTTGCGGACAGAGAAAGAGAGAGAGAGAGAGAGAGATGTGCGCACATTGGGCTTTTATATATTAGGACTAGGCATGCTGCCCAGCTTCGCTTAGGCTTTCGAAAACATTGAGAATTTGAATGCTTAATTAATTCGCCCGAAGGTCGGTCTACGACCTCAAGAGTTATGAAGAGGTTCCTCCGTGGACATTTTTTTTCGATTTATAGCTCATATAAGGTACCGGTCAGTCGAGGTCAGTTTTGACCCCCACATCGTAGACTTTTCGGCCAACCGGCCCCCGTGTTCTGTCGCACCAAGGCAAGATCATGCCAAATTTGAAGCGCCTGCGGCGCCGGGAAGTGCCCTATCGGACACCCTACAATCTAGATCTAGATCTAGATTCCTAAAAGAATTTTTTTTTAAGTTTAGCCCGAGCATAATAAAAAAGAATACATTAACCAAGTTGACTTGCTGTGTCTCGAACCCGCACCACCTGCGTGGTTTAATGTTCACTAACATCTCCGCTATTTAGGCACCTTATAAAATACGGAGAATGAAACACGTATTTTAAAATCTTAACTTACGCGAATATGCCTATTCTTTCAAATTAATTTTTTATCCCAAATTAGCCAGTTCCAAACAAAGATTTTGTATAAAATAAATAAGTCTTGAAATAGTTTAGTCCTAATATAGAAATTTATTTTTGGAATTGATTTTAGAGAAGTTAGAGTCTAAATCTAGATCTTAGCGTCTACGTCTAGATCTAGTTATTGCGTAGATTTAGATTTAGAATAGATTTAGTCTAGATCTAGAATCTCTAGATCTAGAATCCAAATACATAAAATAAATTTTATGAGTTTAGGCCGGAAAAATTGTATTGTATACATTTCATAGTGTACGTAGATCTAAATCAAATTTGAATGAAATAGTTCATTTCTTTTCATTCTAAACACGGCAGATGACGTCATTAGTTAATGTATAAGCAATAGTGACGTCACAGTTTTATGCGTTCTTTTTCACATATATTAATGCTTTTCCGGTTGCATAAATAATACTGTTTCTCTACATTCGAATACGCCTTTAATTTTTATTTTTCTTCTTTAACTAAAATTGTGGTTATACATTTAAAACATCTAACATATTATTTTCAACAAAAGTCCGTAAAAAGTTCTTCATATATCGCTGCCGATTCTGACGTGATGTCCGGCGAAAATATTTTGCGGACAGAGAAAGAGAGAGAGAGAGAGATGTGCGAACGTGGGGATTTATATATTAGGATTGTGGTTATACATTTAAAACATCTAACATATTATTTTCAACAAAAGTCCGTAAAAAATTCTCGATATATCGCTGCCGATTCAGACGTGATGTCCGGCGAAAATGTTTTGCGGACAGAGAAAGAGAGAGAGAGAGAGAGAGATGTGCGCACATTGGGCTTTTATATATTAGGATAGATAATAGATAACAAAAATTGATTTACTTTGTTGTTACAACTGTTTATTTTATGGATTCACGCGTTGCACATATGCTGAACTTGAAACATTTTCTTAAATTATTTCTTTTAGTTTTAATTCTTTAAGCAATCCCCGACAAAAACAATAGAAATAAATTACGATTTATTAGTCAACTTCACTAATTCTTTATTGTTTGGTTTTAATGTAAATGTTTATTTTTCACAAACAGCAATTAAACAAATTCTTCGCACAAACTATTTTCAACACATTACGTTTTTTTAATCGACTGAAAAAAAAAATTAAAGTGTAGAACATCTAAAAAAAAATTCCTAAACTACGCATCATCGTTAAATAAAACTTGTCTAGCAGAGGCTCTTGGCGATCTTTTCCTGTACATAGCCCAAACTCTCAAAGTTTTCAGCCTTGTACACGTCATCAGGGGTGGTGGCAATTTTACTCAGCTCGCTGTCTGACACAGCGTCCCCGATACCCACACAAATGATCTTGATGTGGTGGCTCTTCAGCACCTTTACGGCCGCCTCAGCTGAAACATTGGAGGTGGTACATTCACATCAAGCAATCATTTAGCTTTTTACTTCAAACATATCCACTGATAAATTCACATCAAGCAATCATTTAGCTGTTTACTTCAAACATATCCACTGATAAATTCACATCAAGCAATCATTTAGCTGTTTACTTCAAACATATCCACTGATAAATTCACATCAAGCAATCATTTAGCTGTTTACTTCAAGCCTATCCACTGATAAATTCACATCAAGCAATCATTTAGCTGTTTACTTCAAGCTTATCCACTGACTAGGCATGCTGCCCAGCTTCGCTTAGGCTTTCGAAAACATTGAGAATTTGCATGCTTAATTAATTCGCCCGAGGGTCGGTCTACGACCTCAAGAGTTATGAAGAGGTTTAATCCGTGGACATTTTTTTTCGATTTATAGCTCATATAAGGTACCGGTCAGTCGAGGTCAGTTTTGACCCCCTCATCGTAGACTTTTCGGCCAACCGGCCCCCGTGTTCTGTCGCCCCAAGGCAAGATCCTGCCAAATTTGAAGCGCCTGCGGCGCCGGGAAGTGCCCTATCGGACACACGACAATCTAGATCTAGATCTAGATTCCTAAAAGAATTTTTTTTAAAGTTTAGCCCGAGCATAATAAAAAAAAAATACATTAACCAAGTTGACTTGGTGTGTCTCGAACCCGCACCACCTGCGTGGTTTAATGTACACTAACATCTTCGCTATTTAGGCAGATGACGTCAATAGTTAATGTATAAGCAATAGTGACGTCACAGTTTTATGCGTTCTTTTTCACATATATTAATGCTTTTCCGGTTGCATAAATAATACTGTTTCTCTACATTCGAATACGCCTTTAATTTTTATTTTTCTTCTTTAAATAAAATTGTGGTTATACATTTAAAACATCTAACATATTATTTTCAACAAAAGTCCGTAAAAAATTCTCGATATATCGCTGCCGATTCTGACGTGATGTCCGGCGAAAATGTTTTGCGGACAGAGAAAGAGAGAGAGAGAGAGAGAGATGTGCGCACATTGGGCTTTTATATATTAGGATAAATTCACATCAAGCAATCATTTAGCTGTTTACTTCAAACACATCCACTGATAAATTCACATCAAGCAATCATTTAGCTGTTTACTTTAAACATATCCACTGATAAATTCACATCAAGCAATCATTTAGCTGTTTACTTCAAACATATCCACTGATAAATTCACACCAAGCAATCATTTAGCTGTTTACTTTAAACCCATGAATCATCCACAGCTAAATTCACACCAATCAATCATTCACAGTTAAATTCACACCAAGCTATCATTCCCCGTTAAATTCACATCAAGTGATCATTCACTGTTAAATTCACAACAGTCAATCATCCAATTTAAAATTCACATCAAGCAGTCATTTAGCTGCTAATGAGTAGTGTAGAACACAAGTTTTCGTTACTCGTGTTAGTTGAGGTTGGCTGCGTGAAGCAAATCAAGACAGATTGTATACTATCTTGAAAGAATATATTGTTTAATTATTTAAGTGTGATTTCTTTTTAAAGTAACGCAAAGTGTGTTGAGTGGAACAGGATTGGTGAAACTAGTGTTAAAGGGGGCATCAAATTCTAAACAAGGGTTCTTTGTTTCTTTCAGACATTATTTTAGGTCGGGGGGGGGGGGGGTACTTGAAACTGGGTGGGGGGTGTAAGGGTGCAGATTTAAATGTACAGTGATGGGAGAGGGCGCACACTGATTAAGGTTAATATTTTCTAGATTAATCGTTTTTCGTTCAATGGGGGGAGTGGGGAGGGGGGGTGGGGGTCGATAGTCGGACCTTAGTCCCCCCCCCTCCTCCCCGAAGAGATGTCTTATGTACTTAATTAAGGCAGTCTTATTTGATCAACTAATTAGGTCACCCACACGCAACAATCAGACCCTGTCAATCTTATTTAATCAACTAATTAGGTCACCCACATACAACAATCAGACCCTGTCAATCTTATTTAATCAATCTCATCAGCTTGACCTACTTTTGACTGGATCTGTGGATTTGCCATCCGTCAGTATGAGGACTGTCTTGACAGAGTCAGGTCTGCCACCAGATTTAACATCGAACATTTTATCTTCTTCAATGTGTTCTAGGGCCAGGTTCAGCATGGTTGTCTCCCCTGGGTAAGGGGCAGCTAGAAGCGCCTGCAAGGGAATGTTATGCTTGTTAGCCAAATCAAGGGAATGTTGTGTTTGTTAGCTCAATCAAGGGAATGTTATGTTTGTTAGCCAAATCAATTGAATGTCTATCAGAGTATAATCGAACATGTGTTGATCTTTCATTGGTTAGCACAAAAATATAATTAAGAATTACTCGAATTACTTTGTTACGAGAGACAACATCGACATTCTCTAGGCGATTGTACAATAGTACTTTTAGGCAGTATGCAGTGTTTCTTCCAGAATTTTTTCCCCGGGGGGGGGGGGGGAGGGGGCGCACTTGAAATTTTCGGGGGGAGGGGGCGTGGTAGACTTTGGGGGGGGGGGGGGGCGACACTGTTAAAAGTATATATTTTCTATATAAATCTCATTTCGTTCGGGGGTAGGGGCGGTAGACTTTCTTCGGGGGGGGGGGGGGGTGGAGGGGGGCAGCAGAGTCGCCCCCCACCCTCCGAAGCGATGCCTGGAAGAAACTCTGGCAGTATGGTCCTCTAATGCACATACAATGCTATCATTAAATAAATGTTACATTGGTACAATAAGGTGCGGTATGGAGTGGTATTGTTTGGTTTGGTTTGGTTTGGTTTGGTATGGTATGGTATGGTATGGTATGGTATGGTATGGTATGGTATGGTATGGTATGGTATGGTATGGTATGGTATGGTATGGTATGGTATGGTATGGTAGGGTAGGGTAGGGTAGGGTAGGGTAGGGTAGGGTAGGGTAGGGTAGGGTAGGGTAGGGTAGGGTAGGCTAGGGTAGGGTAGGGTAGGGTAGGGTAGGGAAGGGTAGGGTAGGGTAGGGTAGGGAAGGGAAGGGAAGGGTAGGGTAGGGTAAGGTAGGGTAGGGTAGGGTAGGGTAGGGTAGGGTAGGGTAGGGTGGGGTGGGGTAGGGTAGGGTAGGGTAGGGTAGGGTAGGGTAGGGTATGGTATGATGTTATACGATACGGTAGGTTCGGTACGGTACGGTTCGGTACGGTACGGTACGGTACGGTACGGTACGGTACGGTACGGTTGCCTCTGGTCTAGCCTCTACCCTTACTTGTTGAATAGACTTGAGATTGTTGTACTTGTTCAAATCAAACAACTCCTGTACATCCGTGCTAAAGACAACGGCACCAAACTGAGCCGCTTCTTTGCTAATGTTGAACTGTGAAACAAGACGGGACGCATACTCCAGCTGTATGTTGTAGTTGTCTAGTCCAATACTGCCTGAAGCATCCATAGCAAAGATGATATCTGCCAGAGTCTTACATGGCACAACTAGAGATGTGAAATATCAGTTCATTTATTTTCAATACGCTATACAAGCGGTTTTTTAATTAAGGAAAATTGTACCAAAAAGTTTATATATTAAAATTGGTTCAAATTCATTATTGTACTTTGATTATAGCCAAAAGTTTAAAGATTAAAATTAATTCTAATACATTATTGTACTTTGATTAGATTTCCGCTGGTCTAGGAGTAGACGAATGTTATACCTTAACTGAGGAGCTAAACATACATTCAGTTTAATCGATGCACCTACTTTTGTCAGCTGATGTAATGGATCTTCCTACTTTTGTTAGGTGATGTTATGGATCTACCTACTTTTTTACATGATGTAATGAATATACCTACTTTCGTCACCTGTTATGGATATACCTACTTTTGTCACCAGATTTAGTGAATCTACCTACTTTTGTCACCAGATTTAGTGGTTTTACCTACTTTCGTCACCAGATTTAGTGGTTGTACCTACTTTCGTCACCTGATGCTATGGAAATACCTACTTTTGTCACCAGATTTAGTGGATCTACCTACTTTTGTCAGCGGATGTAATGGATGTACCTACTTTCGTCACACTTAGTCACATCCTTAGAGTTGACAACAAAACCTTTAGCGCAGGAACAAACAAAACCCCCTTCAGTATCCGTACAGTTGTGGGCACATGGGCTTGATGAACAATCATTCCTGGCTGAAAAATAATTCCCTGTCTTTAGAAAATTAATCCGTATTTTACTATCATGTTTAATTCTTATAGTGTTGACCTCAAAAGAAATTAACGTCGTGAGCTTGTTTTACATGACGCAATTATGTTGCCTTGTTTATTGACTTTAAAACGTAAATTTTCGCTTTTCATCCCAGTTGAAAGCATAATTTATTACGGTCGCATGGAGAAGGTTTAATGGAAGATGCTGTGGTCAGCTGTCCACTATCAGGTGAGGTAATATCAAGGCCAGCTGCTGAATATGTGGGGCATTCTCTACCTCCCCTGTATAATTCTATTAGACTTCCTATGATTTAAAATGGAATACAACCCACTTATAAAAATCTTGAAATTCTACCAACCAAACTACCAACACGTAAATGGAAAGACTTGGTGTAATCGATGAAGCAACGAAATGAACTACCAGATTGAATTATGATCGTGGCTATTTTGTCTAAAGTAGATTTATCCGATTATTAGATTATATCTATTTTTTTCTTCAAATGATAATTTTAATAGATCGAAATATCTAAAAAATTAAATTGTTAAATAAAAGCATTGACATATATTTAAGCATAAAAATCTCATAACTGACCATCACATTTGGTAGGGTTTTTACTGTTGGCAACGAATCCATGCTTACAGGAACATGTAAAGTTGCCCACTGTGTTGGTGCAGATCTGTTCACACACGGGACTTTTAGAACTGGTGCATTCATCGATGTCTAATATTGACAAAATACTTTTAGAACTGGTGCATTCATCGATGTCTAATATTGACAAAATACTTTTAGAACTGGTGCATTCATCGATGTCTAATATTGACAAAATACTTTTAGAACTGGTGCATTCATCGATGTCTAATATTGACAAAATACTTTTAGAACTGGTGCATTCATCGATGTCTGAGTGACATTGACAAAATATGTGTAGACGGTTATTAAATTATCGGAACGTGATACCAAAATCACACAGCGGAGCATTTTATATAGGCCAATATTTCCAAAACTTTAGTCTTCTAGGTCACCAGCCAGGAAACTAATTATTAAAATGGTCTATGTATGACTACATAATTAGCACTGGTCTCATTAGTAATTATTTTATTTCGTAAACAAACGAGTGGGACAATACTCATTAGCTTTTAATATCACGTTAATTGAAATACGCAAATAAAAAAAGTTCAATGTTTTTTTTTCTTTGTTTTCGTATTTAGTAATTTCCAAAATGTTTTTAATAAATAATAATACAGAAATCTCATTAATTACGCCTACTAATTACATCTTTTGCGATAGTTTGAGGTTAGGGAGCAAACTTATTTAAAAACCTTACTGATTTCTAACATTGTGTTAACATTGTGTGTGTGTGTTTGTGTGTGTGTGTGTATGTGTGTGTGCGCGCGCCTCAGACATGTAATTTGCAGCGTCAGTTTGCCTTGCCGTGTTCGCTTTAGTATTACAGTTTTGATCATCGGCTTGTGATTACTGATACAGATTTACAATAGTAGTATTTCTTTCTTACTTGTAGCCTAATTTCATTCATTTAAGATGGTTTACTTATACATAGATTTAATACAAAACGTCTTAATATTAAAAAAAAAAAAAAAAAAAAAACCAACCTGAAAATGCAATAAAAAATTATTTTTAAACCGCAAATGATAAATATTTTTGAGACGCTGGACTGAAAAGCAATTAATCTAAATAAATTGTAACTAAATAGCATAAATATTATTTAAGAAAATTGATAGGCTTTTCAATTTTTTACCCTAATTTTTAAAAATAATCGCACCGTATTTATTCCTTGCAAACAAATATTCTAAGTCTCTACTTTTTCTACTAAATTTAACGCCCCAAAACCCATCTGTTACTCTCGATATGAGCCTTTTATTAAACGGATTATGTTAGAATGCCGAACTTGACATATTACTGGCTTGTTATCGCCCTTTATTAGCGCCCGAATGGTTTGACGTAAACATTAGCCCATAGTTATTTCCCCTCTAAAGGTATGATATCATTTATTTTAGTTTTCACTAACACATGCATTTATTTTCAATATCTAGCAATTTGATATATAATTAGAATGACGGTTTAGTTATCAATACATCGTAGTCGGTTATAGACTAATAATATAATATCTAGATAGATTGCCATTTCAATTTAACTATCTAAGTACACTTATGTCCAAGGTTTTGAAAAAAAAATGTTGTTTAGGTTGAACATATCAACACTATGTATACATATTTACCATAAACATAAAAAGTTGTTTAGGTCGAGACGTATCAACACTGTCTAAACATATTTACCACAAACATAATAGTTGTTTAGGTCGAAACATATCAACACTATGTACACATATTTACCACAAACATAAAAAGTTGTTTAGGTTGAACATATCAACACTATGTACACATATTTACCACAAACATAAAAAGTTGTTTAGGTTGAACATATCAACACTATGTACACATATTTACCACAAACATAAAAAGTTGTTTAGGTTGAACATATCAACACTATGTACACATATTTGCCACACACATAAAAAGTTTAGCATTGGAAAAGCTGAGTAATAACCACCAAGTTTATAAAATTTAAAATCTTTTCTCGTAAAATGGTAAAAATAAAAATAAAGCGGGAGTGATCTCCCCTAAACTTTCTTGAACATACTTATAAAACACTACGTGGGAAGGCAACTCGCGATTAAGACAAGGTTTTAAATCAGTTTTTAATTACTTAATTTTTTTTTAAATAGAAGAGAAGCTAGTAGAGAATGGAATTGCGCTCCAAGTGATCCACAAGCAATATGTGTATAATAGTGCGGAATATTAGTACTTTATAAATTCATACGCGTATTTTTTGAGAAATTGAAAATAGCATAAAGTACTACTTCCGGTCAACGGAAATTACTCAACATTTGTCAGAAGACAGAGAAAATAGATTTTAAACTGCTATGTGAATTTTCGTTTACCTATCTGAAACAGTAATCAAGTTTTAGGCATTTGAAAAACCAAAAGTAGAATAAGTTCCACTTCCGGTTACCGAAAATCGCTGAAAAGTTGACACAGAACTACACATTTGATACAATACCTATATATGAAATGTCATCAACCTAACTGTAACGGTACTCAAATTATTATGTTCAAAGACACACATCCAAATATCCACACACACACACAGAGAAACACACACAGACACACACACGGACATATACACGGACATACGGACAAAATTGCAAAACAATGTTTTTTGACTCAGGAAAGAAAATCTCGATTTCGATTTTTTGCACGATTACAATACTCCATCTATACTTCGTATACGAGAAAGTAGAAATGTAAAAACTTTACGTAACAAACTTATTACTTGCAAATAGTAAAAATCAACTTCCGATTAACCTATTAGTATTGAGGAAAAAAAATCTGCATACTGACCAACACATTTCTTAGGGTCTTTACTGTCGACGGCGTACCCTGGCTTACAGGTACATTTAAAGCTGCCATCTGTGTTGGTACAGTTGTGTTCACATACAGGAGTTTTGGAACTGGTACACTCGTTAAGGTCTGACAAGATATTTGCATTTGTACTATATATATATATATATATATATAAATATATATATATATATATATATATATATATATATATATATATATATATATATATATATATATATATATATATATATATATATATATATATATATGTATATATATATTCTAACTGAAATCTAAGCTATAAGCAATCAATGGTGCGTTATATATATATATATATATATATATATATATATATATATATATATTATATATATTTTATATATATATATATATATATATATATATATATATATATATATATATATATATATATATATTATATATATATATATATATATATATATATATATATATATATATATATATATATATATATATATATATATATATATATATATATATATATATATCATATCTGAAATTAAAGCTATAAGCAATCAATGGTGCGTTGTTTCACATGAAAGCGTTTTACACTTTAAGCTGATGACTGTGCTTGTCTCAGAATAAAATAAAATAGTCGTTTTTAAAAAAAAAAAAATATGTAGACTTCGAGAAACACTCCATTATATGTATGTTCCCGAAACAAAATTCTTCAAGAATGAGAAACAAAATCGTGATACTAACCAACACATTTGGTGGGGTCTTTGCTGTCCTTGGTATACCCCGGTCTACATGAGCACATAAAGCTGCCCACTGTGTTTTTACAAGTATGTGCACAGGCAGAGCTCTTGGCGCATTCGTCGATGTCTGATAATATATAGACAACATTTTGGACTTAAACTATAAGATGTTTTTTATATATGTTTTTAAAATTTAAATACAATTTACTGCAAAATTAGAGCTATTTACAACTTGCACTTCAAGAAGAAATCGAAGTTACCGATTAATGTTATCTATTAAATATTGACCCCAGTAAAAGCACTTTCTATATCTATAAAATAAACCAGGAGTGATCTCCCCTAAACTTTCTTGAATACTCTTATATAACACTACGGGGAAGGGTAACTCAGGATAAAGACATGAATTTTAATACATTTTTAATTACTTAAACTTTTAATAATAGAATCTCTTGGTAAAAAGAATTGCTGCGCACCAAGTGAACGGCAAACAATATGTGTATAATAGTGCGGAATATTATTAGTACTTTATAAACTCGCATGCGTTTTTTGAGAAATCGGAAATAGCGTAAATTACTACTTCCAGTAAACGGAAATTACTCAAAATTTGAAAGAAGGCAGAAAGGTAGATCTT